GGAGTATGATTTTTTGCCTAGTAATGACTTCTTGCATCAACTTGATAGTCATAATGTGGTCCAACCGTGTGCAATGGTTGAAATTGCGAGTCAGGAAAATCGGAAGGACAGTACTGTCGTCACACACCAGCCTTTTTTTGCCATACAATCAGATGTTCCTTTCGACTTCTGCTGTAATGCCTCCTTCTAGTTTTTACGCGCCTACATCTTTTCAGAGTTCTTCTCTTATGTATGGTGCTTCTTTTTGTGATCGCGACATCATACACGCGACATTACATTCTTCTACACCTGCTCAGCAAGTCTTGCCACACGCGCCTAGTGACGTTATACATGATGATCCCTTGACGTATAATCATAATGATACATTGTCTGCTAAGGAGACAGGCGAACAACATAGTCCTAGTATAGTCGAAGATGATAAAATTGAATCACATAAAGTTACTGARGTTGATTCCGTTGAGGATAATTTTCTTCAAGCTATTGAGCTTAATATTTTTGATGACTGTGATCAACATAAGCTTTTAAACASCCCCAAACRRCCCTTGTTGATAGTATCGGATAGTTGCCCACATGTTGAAGTTMTTGTMGAAACAGAAAAAGTCAATGAAATTGAAGCGCCCAATGTTAGTTTATTCTTGACATCTGATGAAGTTCCAGATAATAATTTAAGTTTACAAAAGACAGCAGAAGKACCTGCTGGTGAAAGTTTTAATGAAAATAAGGAAAATGCAATTAATGCAATAAATTTTACAGATGTTACAAAGAATTTGTCAGTCCAGGGCAAAATTTTTAATAAGTCATATATATTTCTTTGCGATACGGGTGCAACAAATACAGTTATTGATATACAAGTTTACAATAATGTTCCAGAGTTGAACAAATTTCCGCTGACCACGAGTCCATATAATCCATTAAGGTCGGTTACAGGCAACCAAATTAGTATTCAAGGGCAAGTTGATATACCTTTTGAGATTGATAACCAAATTTATAAATTTCCCGCCCTTGTTGTGGACGGTTTAACATATGATGTWATTCTAGGTAATGATTTCCTAGACTTTTTTAAGGCTGTTATTGATTTAGATAAGCGCATACTTTCTTTTATATCTAATCTTGAGTCTCCTCAACCTCAACCTAAGAGTTCAGACTATACTGAATGTAAAGTTTTTGCACATCAAACTTACATTTTGCCTCCACGTGCTGAGACCATTGTTCTAGCACATCTTGAAGTTCCGTTTGATCCAGGCATTACTGGTCTTGTTGAACCTAAGCCAAACCTATCCGACCGCTATAATGTTTTTGGTGCGGCTTCTTTAGTTACAGTTTCTGAACAAAACACTGTACCTTACAAGCTTTTAAATCCAACTTTTTCTGAAGTCACTATTCATCAGAAAACCGTATTAGGCTTATTTACGGCCCTGCGTAATCCGTCGATATTGTTATCTTTTGACAATAATGATACCTCTTCCCCATCACCGGATGAGTCTCAACCACTTCCTTTTTCCGAACCTATTCGTGTTGATTTAAGTAAGTCCGATCTCAATAATGATCAAAAGCTAGCTTTGCACGATTTATTACACGAATACCGTGACATTTTTGCCGCCAATGACAAAGAATTAGGGCGAACTTCGATTGTTCAACATAATATCGATACAGGAAATGCCAAACCTGTCCGACAGAGAGCCTATCGCGTATCTGAGTCACAACGACGTACAATAGAGTCTCATGTTGAGGATATGTTAGAGCGTGACATCATTCGACCTTCTACTTCTCCTTGGAGCTCACCTGTTGTTTTAGTTAAAAAGAAAGATAATACTGATCGTTTTTGTGTTGATTACCGCCGTTTGAATGCTCTTACAGAGAAAGATAGTTTTCCATTGCCAAACATCGTGTTTATGATCGATTCACTGTCAGGCGCAAAATTGTTTTCCACTCTTGATCTTCGATCAGGTTATCACCAAGTAGAACTCGCTCCAGAAACTAGGCACAAATCGGCTTTTATAGTCCCTTCTGGACTTTATGAATGGGAGGTTATGCCTTTTGGTCTATGTAATGCACCTGCTACCTTCCAGCGTCTTATGGAAAGTATTTTACGCGGTTTGAATTATAAGTCTGCTCTATGCTACATCGATGACATTGTTGTATATTCCCCTACCTTTGACCAACATCTACTAGACCTTCGAGAAGTTTTTGATCGTTTGCGGGACGCGGATATTCGTCTCAAACCCACTAAATGTGCTTTTGCTAGTCCAACCATTGAATATCTAGGTCACATTATTAGTGCGGATGGTGTCCGCCCAAATCCTGATAAGATTAAAGCTGTTGCTGAATTTCCAATACCAAAAAATCTTAAAGGTGTCCGTAGTTTTTTAGGCTTAGCTAATTACTATCGCCGTTTTGTCCATAATTTTGCTAAAATAGCTGTTCCACTTAATAATCTTACTAGGAAATCAGTTAAGTTTCAATGGACCCAAGAATGCCAAACCGCTTTTGATACACTTAAACAGGCGTTAATTTCGGCTCCTATTTTAGCTTTTCCTCTTCATGACCAACCTTACATATTACATGTTGACGCTAGTGACTTTGCAATTGGCATGGTTCTTTCTCAAATTCAGAATGAAAAGGAAGTCGCCATCGCTTATGCAGGTCGTGATTTAAATTCGGCTGAACGTAATTATTCCGTGACTGAAAAGGAAGCTTTAGCACTTGTACAGGCTGTCA